CTTAAGAATAACAAAGGGGGGAAGCAGCCAGTTACAGGTAATACAGACTAGCATACTGAGTTGCCAGGGGGGGGGGGGGCCCACCTTCCAGAAAACAGTGCTTTGTGCGGGGGTGTCTACCATTGCTAGAGTGCTTTTATTGTTGACATTCATCATAGCTATGTCAGCGACTAGCTTAGAACCAGCAAATCCGGAGCACAATCTGGTTACTGAAAGCTTACCACAGAGGCTTGTCTCAGCTTTTCCTACAACAAAGTTGTGTACTGCATTGTTCTGTGTGCTGTGCAATGGTGAATTTGTCTGGCACTTCTAAGACATGCTAGTTTTGCATCACTGGCTAATCCCTCTGAGAACAAAAACCTACCCCGAGTGGACTCTGGTGTTATGATCGAGAAGCACTGTGATGGGCCTTTCCAAGATTGTCTTCCTCTTTCCTGGTACAACTCATTTTTGGAAACATGACCCCGACAATTCAAAAGAATTCAAAAGAATTCCTCTGTAGCATTCATTGTGGGTCTCGCAAGTGAAAAGGCCTCTGGAAAAATGTCTTTACTGCATTGTTCCATTTTCATGCCAAAATAGGCTTTGAAAATCTTGCTGGTGAATTGGGCACAAAATCAAATATCTGGAAATATTTGAATTAATGGTAGAGGACAGCCATGAGCAGAACTGTATATAGTTAAAGGAGGGACAGGAACTACTAGAATGTGAGTTTCCCAATCTTTGATTCATCACGGAGGAATTCTCTGCCCCCCGTGGTTTCTTATCCTTAGTCAGATGGAGTTCATACACATTTAAGGCATTATTTGTAACCCAGAAGATCAGAAACGTCTGCTTTAAGAAGCAAAGTTGACATTCTCCAGAAGGCAAAGTCTTTGCTCAGAATCAAAGTCTGCACTTGGACAATGAGCTCATAAAAGCTACATAGTGGCTGGATGAAACCATGTTTCCCCTAATTTGGGAGAAGTGTAAAATCTTTGACCTCCTTGCATACACATTGGGACATCTTACGTTGTTAACAGCAGCCCATCCTGATAGGCCATTCATTCTAGAGGTCAGTTATACCAAAGAAGCCGTGAAAACCATGATTTGGGGTGGTGGTGGTGGAAAGCTCCCAGACTGCTGGGGAAACAGCTGTCTCTTCAGACAGTTTCAAGAGGAAACATACTCCATATTCTGGGAGAATATTCATTGCAGAGAACGTTGTGCAAAGAAATAAACAAGCTAGTTCAAATGTCTCAGACAGCAGAAACACATGCGGCCTACCAGCACTGAGCAAAAGAGCATAGTCTAAAACTATGGGAGCAAAGAGTAAAATGGCTCGCACAGTACTGAGAAAGTATGTTCCTCCCCACTTTGGATCTTGCCAGAATCCAAGGAATTTCATTTCAGACGCACCCTCATTTTGTGGAATGAATTTCTACTGAGAAACAGGGCCACGGGGGGCTGATTCTGGTCAGGACCAAGGTGGTGGTGGTGGGGGGGAGGGTCTCCTGTCTTCCCCCATGCCATTTTTCTGACCTGGAAGGGAGCCGGGAGGCATGTCAGCAAATACCACCACCACCACCACCCCGGCACGTCCCAAGGACGAACTTGGGGAAGCCCGTCCCATCTGGTTTGGCCCCTGGGGACAGCATTTAGGAAATCGGGGTGGGGGTGGGACCATGCCCACCGCCACAGTGGTTTGCTTGTTTTTTAATAAAAGGGCCAATACTCGTACAGAAGGTTGCAGACGTTTCCGCAAGGGAAGCCGCCAGTACTCAGGACCGGTAAGTGCCGCCACCACACAAACACACACCCACACAGAAGGCCCCGCCTGCCATCCTCCTCCCCAACCACTTGTTCCTCCGGGGTTCTTTACTGCTCTCGGACACTTACGGGCCCCGTCTGAAGAGGCGGCTGGTGCCTGCCAGGGCGGCCCCGGCACTGCTAGTCTGCGTCATGCTGTCGGAGCCCTCACACCCTTCCCCCCCACCCCCCAGCCACAAGCAAAGCAGCCGCTAAACAGGGGGAGGAGGAGGAGGGGGTCACCCTGGAAGGAGCCCAGGCCTCCCCCGCACCACCCACCCACCTGAGTGCGCACAGGGACGGAGGGGCTGGAGAGGCCACGGAGCACCCACCCCCACCCCCGCCCCCCGCCGGGCAGGGCAGGCAGCCTGGCTACAGGACATCCCAGGGGGGACCAGCGTGTGGAGAGCCTGGCGGCGGCACTGGAAAGGCACCCGGGGGGGGGGGGGGGGGGGGGAGGGGGCCCCTCTCTCTCTCCCAGGCAAGGGGAACCGCCGCCGCCGCCACGGGAGACGGGCCAGGCTGAGGAGGAGGAGAGCGG